AGGCTTAGTCCCAGAGACAGTTACTGTTTCGTTATCATCCAGTAGTTTTGAAAGATGCGCCATCAGGGACTAGGCCTTGCAGGAGAAGAAGAAATATTCGATCACATTAAATTAACCAAACTACAGGCAAATGTGGGTAAATTATGGTTTGGAAAAAAAACGTAGGAACATCCAGTTAGGTGTGAAGAAAAAAGTGAATGAGTAAAAAAGTGAGTGGTCGAAGTCAAAGTCGTCGATGTCGATGAAAAGTTGATGCGCACCTTAAAAAAGTTAGAAGCGTACTAAGGGCTGTATGATGGTTGAAAAGCATCGTATTTGATTCCAGTAGGCGGATGACGCTAGGGATAACGTCACTCCCAGACAAACTAACATACATGTGGAATCGGAGACTGAATTTTCGGATGCTTAGGTATTCCCACCCCTAACAATTCAGCCTCCGACCGAGCAATATTAATTGACTGTTGAATGGATAAGGGAGCGAAGGACGACGGTGCGGCAAGCCATTCAAGGCCTTATGTCGGCTATTGGTTGTGAGAGCATGGCGGACACAACTGCAGAAAGACTTTTTGAAATAAAGGTTTTGATGATTTCCCTTTTCCATTCATGCTACTGATGTAGCAAAGCAGAGGTGGAACATTGAATTCGATCCCATCACATCTGTCTGCTGTTCAATCCGACTTTTCTCTAGATCAAGCGAACGTGCCCTGTTTTTTCCACCGCCACTTCAAGGAAGAATTCACGTCATATCCCAGTTATCTCACAAGCGCTGGGGGTGCTGCTTGAGCCGGTGGAGGCAGGGTCAACCCCCGTTGCGCAAAGAACAACGAGGGGGTCGTATTCAGCCGACCGAAAAGGGAGGGGGTCGTATCCACAGAGACGGGGCTGCAAGACGGCTTGAAAAGTGCAGTGTCCGGGAGTGCACTTTCACGCCTCTAATGTTCTCCAGGAGCTCTGCACGTGCAGCTGTCGGAGAGTCACACAGACAAGAGCTCCATGGGAGCATTATGCAGAGCATTATAAGTCTCACTATCAGCCATTATTATCCTTAATACACGGACGGCGCTCTTGCTCGACAGCATAGACTAAAATTAACAAGAATGTAACTTCAGCATTAGGCTGATGTTACCGTAATCGGGACAGCGCGTCAAATGAGATGCATTGTCGGCGCGCGCACACAATCTACGTTGTACTTGACGACATAAGCATCCGCAATGCGCATTGGCACTGTATGATAGTTCTGACTTCTTTAACGCCTAATGCGATGACAATGATTCTAAAATCACCCAACTCACGCTCTCTCTCTCTTATACTGTGCTAATTCTTGAGAAAGTACTCTCGAGAATCGAGTTACAGCCACGGGTCAGGAGTTCAAGAACAGTTGTGGGGAATGAGTTACAGTAAGAAGCTTCTTCAAAGTTTTCATCCGCGGAGCTCTTGGAGCTCAGACCGGTGTGCGTAATTTTAACTTTGACGCCCTCTCCACTTAATTGACAGGAAGCTGTCACTTATTCACTCGCGGGGCAAGCTCGGCAAGGGTCGTATAATCAGTTTTATCTCAATTGAACAAAGGATCTAGTGTGGCCTTAGCAGAAACATTACTTTTATCCGCATGGTAGTCAAGGTACTATTCTGGTTAAAGGTATTCTATCTCCAGGTATAATTCAATGCAGGTGACTGGTCTACAAACGGCAGGGGAGAAGCGCGAACACCATTTCGCATATTCCTCATCATGACGGTGCCGTGGACACCGGGCGAGCTTGGATGAGCAAGTTGGTACGAAGCGTTCTATGTGAGTTTTTCTAATAAGGCTTCTTTTTCTGGAAATTGCATTTGGAAGAGGATGACTGGTCCTTCAATTTCTGATATGTAACTTTGTCGGGCTTATTGGCGCGTGCTCTTCTCATCCATAAACCAAAATATTTTGACAAATCTCGTCAAATGCATCACTGCTAATAGGACTGAACTTCATAATAAGGCGATGAGCGTTTTCCCATAGTGCAAAGGTTATTGTTTGCGTACTCAGTTTTGCCATTGGCCATTAAGCCGATTAGCCGTTAAGAACGCCAATGGGTAGGTTCACAGTGGTTTAGCCATTTTATACGTTACTTCTAGTCACGCAAAGTCTTGTAACAAGGTCATTCAGACAAGTGTCCCACACTATCCGAATGAAGCATGGTGTACGGTAAAGAATTGTAGCCTAGGATTTACGCAACTTTGACAACCTTCTCGATATGGAAATTCTAAATAATACTCTGCTTCTCCTAGAAACTAGCAACAGCAAGCTTGTGAATTGGTTGATCCTTTTTTGAAATACGACTTCATTGGCTTTCTAACGAGTAATTTTTCGTTCTAAATTTGGCCTAATAGAGGAAAGGAATCAAGCCTTAACTTGGCGCTGTTTACAATACTGCTATAGATATGATTTATAGTGGACTATACTAGTGTAGGCGTCATTTCCGTTTGTTGGGATATATATGGATTAAGATGTTACTTGGATATTGCCAATTTTGATATCAGTGATAACATCTTAATCCACTTGTAATGGAAAGTTTGCTGATAACCTCAATCAGGGTCAGATGACCGGACATGTTATGATTATCTGATGGCAAATATGATCGTATTTGAGCTTATTTCATATCTCTCTGTGTAATCTTTCCTAAGGCAGTTTCTGCAAACTGTCTATTGTTGGGAAAGGTTACAGTCGTGGCGATTTCGCCATGACAGCGGAGATTACCCTCGGTACACAGAAGTTTTGTGAGCAACAGAATGATTTTTTTGCAGGTTGTTTTTCAACCTATGCACAGGTACATTCCCGCTAAGTACATCTATCGAATGCCGACTTCTGCAATAATGTGGACGGATCAGAACACACCTGCCTCAGATTCCTCGTTTCTAGTGGCTGCTAAAAGGTCTGTCTGTGTTCTTCATAATTTTTAATAAGTCCTACGATTTTACGATAAGTCGCGCTGGTTGATCCATTTTGTTTCATCACGCATTCCTTTTGTCTATAATCCCAAATACGTTGGAATGAAAACAAAGGGCTGCCATCTAAAACCCATTATTAACTTCAGAGAATGCACTTCACTGCTATACTTCAAGTTGGCTTCAAGAGAGGTGGGAAGGGTAACTTCGCTCATGTTTTCCTTGAAGCATGGTTTTCTTCGCTAGCACAGCACACTTCTTACATCATTTTTTGCCAATGTTTCAACTCATGCTTACTTAGTTGTAACTTAATAGCGATCGAGAATGAAGGGTCTTGCACCATCAGGACTAAGACTAAGTCGGCTCCTCCCTCTGCATCTTAAAGAAACTAACCAATGTGCCGCGCTTGGAAATGCAGGGAATTAGCTTAATTAAGCTAGCCTTAGCTTCTATTTACGTGCGTTCCGCCAAGCCATGTGATCGACAGTCAGGATTATGCCATTATGAAACTAAATGGCCGATTCCGTGAGCTCTACTGCACTTGTTTTTTAAGAATATTCCATGCAAAAAACTACTAATGCTTCTGTTCAGGTTCGAATACACAGCGTTTATTGCTGCAACCCTCTATCAAAACAACGAAGTGACACAACGCAGAATTTCTCACAACCCTTTTGCTGAAAGGGTTCCGGGAAGGACGGAAGGAGACCTAACGGACGTCAAAAGCGCAAACGCTCAGCGAGCTATCTCCGAAAACATCTGCTGCGTCAACGCCGGGTATCTCACCTATGTCCGCTGATGTACTCATCACCGTTCAACAAATTTCATTTACTTCTTTCTGTGCGAATGTGGTTACATCTCACATGAAGGTCCTGTTATAGTCTGTTGCGAACACAAGATTCGTGAACAAAAAAATAACACTTGCGAACGATGATTACCCATAATGTGGCTCCTAGAAGCAAGGAGTCGAATTGTTTTTCAATAATCAGTGGCATGGACATATACCACAAAAAAATAAATTTGACACCGTAGGCTGAGGTGGAGGATAAAAAGTACGCCATATAGACACAAGTTAAAAAGCATAGACAGCTCATCATTTGATTAGTAGAGAAATGAGGGTTGGTCACACCCGAATGTCGTAGTGTGAAGTATATATGTTCGACTTTCCTTCGAGATAGGCGAGGTACTTTTACCATTTAAATTTTCATACCTATAACGCCGTCAAAATACCCTATTATGAACGAGAACCAAGATGTGACAAAAAAACAGGTGAGAATAGGGTAGTCCTACAACTGCTGATCGGGTACACAAGAAGTTAGCGGTGATGATTTTTTAGAGATGTTCCTTTTCCTCTTTTGAGATCTCTACAAACAAAACCGTCTCGTCAGCACGGCATCGAAGATACTTCATAGAATCAAACACTTCTTCAAGGCACTGGTTGACTTGTTCGTCCGGTATCTTCGGAATTTTCAAAATGTTACAACGGATTACGGCGTAGTTCTTGAAAAAAGCACTTTTACGTACTCGCAAAATTAGAGAAAAAAAAACATGAGAAAACACCATACAGATTCAATTTCATGAACAAAACTGTTGTTCGAGTCCAAGATATCGGTTTTGGATAGACGGTCAGCAACGATGGAAGGGACCTTCCGAGGATTCCTCTACTGGGTCGAAGTTTTCCACATATCTTCTGCTAGGTCTTGCATTCCTATTGTGGTCGTACCTATAACGAGACAAATATTGGTCGAATCCCCTATTGTACGTATATAAGTGAATATCACCTGAAGAGGCATAAATGAGACATGCATAAGCTTCTAAACATTCATATTCCTACCCACTTACTAGTAAAGAAGACACAAGGACGCCATGATTTGTACCTTAACTATTTCCATACGGAGCGGACACTTGAGCGACTTTTGGACTGAATTCGGCAGTACTCTGGCGATGTTGCACCGACTTGTGCACTTGTAACGCAGCTCTAGATGTATGTGATGAACTGAAATCATTACATTTGTAAAATTCCGAAGCTTTCGATGCTGCTTCGTGCTTTCTCCTTTCCTTCTTGATTTTCTCGATGTCGTCCTTTGTATACCCATGGTTCGAAAATAAATGATTGTACAGTTTCGCTCCAGTGCTTAATTCTCGACCGCACTCCTTACATAAGATACCCACTACCTGAGAAATTCCAATCTAAACAATAATCATGTGGAGAATTCAAGCCAAGGAAATCTGTAGCGCAACATAAAAAATCAAAGGGATATGTCACATGGTAGAAAGCTTGGTCCGGCTCATCTCAATACAATTTCAATACAATGCAATACAATTTCGTATTAGATAGTGTTTCTGTTCCTCATCACTATTGCTAATTTATGGGTTGTGTACTTCGCATTTTACCGAATAGCCGCAATTAACATAAACTCTTTTCTGACCCTATGTTTACGTGATGTTGATTCGGAGCTATTCAAACCAACTTTTTTTCCACCTATGTATCTTCTGTGGGAGAGGGAACTTAGTCAGTCGTGGCCTTCCACACATCCTCGCTGTCACTATCACCTTCCTCTCACTCGCTTGTGGGGAGGCCTTCCTTAATTGGGTGCGCTGACTTCTCACCTCATCTCAGAGAATTGATTACTGAATTGGTTTTTTATATATTATATGCAAAATATGCATACAATGCCACCTTGATTTTTTACATTACAGATGAAAAATTAGAAATAAGAAAGTGAAGGAACTCCAACCAGTTTCATGTGCGATTTCAACAGTCTCACAATTGTGGTAGTTCCCTCGTTCGGATTCATCTTGCTAGGAAAATTACCTAATCTTCGTCGGTCTGTCGTACGTCCGTCTGTCACGAAATTCATAGCGCGCTTCGCTGCAGGCATGGAACGCTGTATTTTGAGTATGGTGTAGGGGGTGGGACGGCAACATATTTGGTGGGGTTTATAAAGTGATACCGACTGATAAGATCTGATAAGAGGCGCCAAAACGCCAATTTCATGATATTCATAGCGCGTGTCTGTACTTCGTCATTCCCCCTGGCCACGTATCGTGGTCCAGCGAGCACTGGCGTGCGTTTGGTTTCAAAGAAGGTGAAATTGTACAGGGTGGACGGGAACATTTCGGCTGAGGTAACAGGAGTGAAAGGGCTAATAAGTAATGATAAGAGGGCCTCGCGGTGGAATTGCAAATTTACATGAAATTCGTCTAGTGCGCTCCCAGCAGCTTCTTAGCTGTGGGCATTGTTTCACAAGCAAGTGAACTGTATAGGTCGAGGTGAGACGGGAAACATGTTCGGTGGGGTACAGGAAGTGATAAGGGCTGATAAGGGTTGATAAGAGGCGCTGAAACGCAATTTTAACGAAATTCATAGCGCGCGTCCCAGCAGCAGTGGGGCGTTGGTTCCAAGAAGTGATGTACAGAGTGCGACGGGAACATGTACGGTGAGGTACAGGAGGCGATAAGGGCCGATAATCACGTGGGAACATATGGATCGCTCAAAACCGTGGTTCTAGAGAATAACACATCACTTCAGAATCATCTCATTGCGTTGTTGTCATCAACATAAAATACCGTTCGACCGCTACAGTTCCCAATGTTCCAAAGAATGTATGATGAATGTTTAGCGATATACGATAAAGAGTATTTCTGTTGCAAAATCATTGGCATCAATATTATTCGACCGCTAAATCATCCTGATATCCAATGCATGGTGGCTGTTTACCGTAATAACTTCGTATAGCATACATCCACGCGGTATCAGGCCTGGCTTGCCTCCTTTAACATTCATATGAACATCCAGCTAATCGTATTTTCAGCGAAAGTTCCAACGTGATTATTCGTTTTTGGCGGCGGAACCTAACGCTCGCCGGCGGGCTAGTTTACGGAGCTATCCGTCGGTCATTGGCCTCAACGCGAGCTAGTTTCGTGCCGGAGCTAAATACTTTTTTGTCTTCGGTTAGTAGGATGAGATGTGCTAAGTACTGTCTTGTGCGGCGTGTGTATAGGTTCTGTTTTATGGTGTGTATTGTCACTATTTAATTTCATAGCTCGCAGGTGCTACAGTAACGAACGTATAGCGCAGTGGTTCTTACATATGTTATAGGGGGTGGGATGGGGACACAAGTGGTACGTGATAGGAACTGATAACGACTGATAATAGCTGATAAGAGGGGCTAGAAAGCGAGCATCGCCAATTTCGTTTTGTCGTTCATATTGGTACTAGAGCGTCTATACTTACAAGTGTTATGTGGGGTGGTCCCGGGACATTGGTGGTACATGATGAAAGCGATAGCAACTGATAAGGGCTGATAAGGCGCGTTAGAACGCAAAAGTCGTCAATTCCGTTACGCAGCTTGCGTTGACACTAGAGCGTCCCTACTTACAAATTCTATTTGTACGTGCACATTGTATCGATATGACCAGCTTACTTAATAGCAGTCGATTGCATAAACTCAATCAAGTCTTCAGCAAATGATAAGTTTCATTTCTATCAAGAAAGCCCAAACTCATTAAACCGCTAATCCTTTCGGGGTTCTAAATAATGGTGAATGTAAATAAATGATAAGCCTTAGCTCCTCACTTATGTAAATAGGCATATTTCATTTTCATTTTGAGACTGACAGCAATCCTATTCACCGCTAAATTATCTGAATTCAAGAAGAATGCTGGATGTTTACAGTTGTGAGATAATACCCAGTTCAGCTCCAGACGTTATCACGCGTATTCTCGATGGACTTCAGCGAAACTGGAGGTCTAACACATTCAACTCAAGGTCCTCCAGTCCCGCTAAAGACTGTCGTGTGATGCGCGCGATAGCGGGCGGAGCAAAGCTGGTTCAAATCATAATAACTTTCTTCAATATGACGAATTTTCAATCTGAAAGCAGATTTGGGAGTTTTGTGAAGAGCTCTTTCTAATCAGTATTGAAATTACAAAAATTTATAAGAAATAACAAATTTAGATCAATTAACGAGGAAAATTCATGATGAGCACGAGTTTTTACACTTTCCGAAGCCATAACTTGCTTCATTTTCGTCAAATCTGAAAAGTTAATATGGCAGACAAAACTAGAAGATTTTCTCTATCAAACGGTTGCTAAAGCAGCTTTATACGTCCAGTATTTAAAAAATGGCCACGTTGAGGATTTTTGCAAAATTAACGAGGAAAATTTGTGATGAGTGCGAGTTTTTACGCTTTCCAAAGCCATAACTCCGTTCAAACTCATCCAATCTGAAAAGTTAATACGTCATCATAAACTAGAAGATTTGCTCTATCAAAATTCATTAGAACTGCTAACTACGTCCACTATTTAAAAAGTGGAAACGTCGTCGAAAGGTACTTTTTCGCTGCATTGGCACTATTTCAACGACTATAGCTCCTTTCAGGGCGATTACATACTGAAGTAGGAGCAGATTCGGAAATCCTCGTGCTTTTCTTTTTCAAGTAAGTGTAAAATTGTTTATTTATCTATATATTATTTGAAAATTATTTATATTATCTCAACTTTAACGATTACATGCTTATGAATTTGACGCTGAAGGCTGCGTTTCTTGTTGAATGTGTACTCCTCCCTGTAATTTCACATGAACCCTTTCAGAATCCTCTTGATTTTTCCTGAATTGAGATTCTTTCTCCAGAGAGCCGTAGTTGAAGCGCGCGCAACCAACTGGGCCCACTCTGGGATGCGCCGTGTGCTTCACATCCCTTCAGATTTGAGGACTCACTTGAAAGATAAAATATCCCTTGGAAAACGTGCGAATTTCGGATTCTTTAACTTGTGTGATAAAACACTGAAGTAAC